CTTTCTTGTTTTCTTACCCTGATTATGTCTCTTACTACTTTTTAAATTATTTATTATTATTTTTATTATTATCTTATTGGATATGTCCCCAAATTCTTTGCAAAATGAAGAGGATAGATTCTAACTGATGTCAGGAGAAATGGATCCGTAGCAGGACTCGGCAATGTATGTGTGATCTGGGCCATAGAGTGTTTCTGAACCTCAGTTTCCTCATCTGTCAAATGGGGGTAATACTAAACCTACTAGCTGTCCTATGGCATGGGGGATAAGGAACTATTGCTGGAGTGTTTTGTGGAAGGACTTGGTAAACTATGGAAAGCTTTACAAGTAGAAAAGTTTGAACAATACCCTATGGTATTCATCTTTGTAATTACTTCGCCCCCCACACTGTGCCCAGGACTCACAGCACAGGGGCAGGCAAGTACAAAGTGCTGAGAAAATGGCCATGAAATCTCATCTCCGAGGCCTCACTCATACTTGCTTCCTCACCTAGCAGAGAGCTCAGCATCTGATGAGCTGTAGAGAAGGATGCTCTTCACCCCCCGGACATGGGACTGCTCGATAGAATGGAAGCCTCGAAACTAAGACGGAGCTAACTAATAGGACCCCCTGCAGGCAAGCGAGTCTGTCAAATGCCATTATGGGAAGAGCAGACAACCAAGCCCCATTTTCACAGGAATTCAACAGGGATTTGTTTTGAAGCATTTTCGTTTGGACTAAAAACGAACAAGAAGAAGATGACATATGAACAAAAGAGATAAAGAAGAAGATTTAAGCACTGAAGAAAGACCCAGAAAACGATCCCAGTGAGTGAAAGATGGCAGAAAAAAAAAAAAAAAAAACAAGTACACAGGGCAGTAAGATCAAAATCAGATTACTTAATAAAAGCTAGCATTCCTTTAAATGGAAAACAATGCACATTGTTTGTCCTTGAAATGTGACATGCACTCCTTTTTCAAGAATGCCAAAGCACTTCAAAGCAGCGGCCCATATCTGACAAAGCCCCGACACACCCTGGGGCCCGGAGGTCATTGTTCCTGTAAAATATTGGGAGGCTTGATGGAATGAATAGATGTCGCAGAATTTAGCAGTCACTTGGAACAGAAAAATCCAGAAATCAAACCTAGGCAGGGAGAGGCAGAATTTGAATTAGGCAAGGGCCCACCTGTTCAATAATGAAATAATTGCTCAGGGCACGTTCTTCTGTAATCTTCCCCGCTGTAACAACTATTCGGCTACCTGCCTCTCTCAATGCTGCTTCCACATTCGCACATAATCTCAGGGCCTCCTAAAGACACCAATTCAGAAGCCAGACAGTTGCTTCCCTAATGCCACAAAAATAGATTCAATTTTACATACATTAGGGTAATTTCAGAAGCAATTTCTCATCTCCAGTGTAAGCATTACTTACATTTTTTTCCCCCTTAAATCTCATTCCAGTGGTTCCACGGGGCATTTAAAAAGGTACCTGATGCATTCTAGGGCATTTGAAAGATCCCCAGAGTGTTTTTTTTTTTTGGAGCTACGGCCTGAGGCTATCAGATGCATAGAGTCCTAAAATATTCAGTGATTCAAACAAATGCAAACTTTCCTAATAACTGAGTGTAATATAAGTCAATCACGTTTTTTTCCCCTGTCTTTTTAAAAAGCAATATCATTAAAATGAATGCATATACATAGACATGTCTGAATATCTATATGTCTGTGTAAGTTTCTATGTCTCTGTGTGTGTATGTTTATAAATATAAAACACACATACACAAAATACACACCTCAATCACTTGGGATTTTGTCCCTGGCCTTTAAAATATCCTGAAATAATAATAATAATAATAATAATAAAACAATAGAATATATAGAAAAAAACATCTAATTAGATTTCATTGGCTCTTCTTCCTCTTCCTCTCCGGCTATTGCTAATCTGTCTGTGTCTTGGGTGTTTTCATTACTTAAGGGTCTATGGTGAAAATGGTGGCGATGTTTCCCTTCAAAATTGAAGAAATCAGTGTTACCCAAGTTTTCATTTGAGATCAGAAAGCTTGAGACCAAATACCTACAATTTCAGGGTCACAATGATTGTCCTACATCTTTGACCATAATCTTTCTGGCATTCAGAGTCCTCCCGGGACACTTTTACAAATGGAAAAAAGTGTGCACAAGAGGCTGGACTGTACAGAAGGGTTTTTGATGAATAGGTACCACTTGGCCAGTACTTTCAATCAGCTAGCTTTGCAAATGAACCTCTCCACCCCTGGTCCAAAAATGAGGAAAGCCAGTGACAATTTCCTGCAGCCAGAGGCTCAGTGAGCTCAAGATGGTCCTTTTTTTCTTTTTTTTGTTTTTATTATTATTTTAATTGACACATAATAATTGTACTTATTTACGGGGTACAGTGTGATGTTTTGATACATGCACTCAATGTCTAATAATCAAATAAGGATAATTAGCATATCCATTACCTCAAACATTTATCATTTCTTTGTGTTGGGAACATTCAAAATCCACTCTTCTCGCTATTTGAAAATATTCAATCAATTGTTTAATTATAGTCATTCTACAGTGACTTATTCCTCCCATCAAGCTGTAATTTGTATCAGAGGTTGGTTAACAGATACAAAATTAAAGCTAGGATGATTCTTTCTTTTAAGGAAAAATTAAACCTATTTCTTTGCCAACCCCTCCTCCGCCTCTCCTAGTCTATGTCAACATTTCTTTTTCCTGTGCCCTAGGGAATGTATGAGTCCCAGTGATTCACCTGGATTAAAAATGGAAAAGGACTGATGTCATGGTTAGGCAGATTGTAAATTTGCTCTGATCTCTAAGAGAAACAACACTTAAATATTTGCTCATAAAATAATCAGTATATGCCTTTAGACTTTGTCTTTAAAAGCCATTACCAACCTTAAGAAGTGCATAATCTGAGCATCGCCAATAACGGGCAAAGTGGTGTCAGGTGTCTATTGATACCATGCAAAGGGAAGCACGCAACATCATTTATGGAACATTTTTGCCAAAATATTTAACCTGAATGCAATCATGATGAAAAAGTGAGACAAATCTAGATTGTAGAACATTCTACAGGACAATCGCCCTAGACTTTTTAGAAATGTCAGTATCCTGAAAGAAGAAATAAAGTTGAGAAGGCTATTCTAGATGAAAGAAGATGAAGAGACATAAACATCACACACGTGAGCACCTCGATTGGATCCTGGATGAAAACAAAGAAACAATAAAGAATATTTTGGTGACTTGGAGGAAATTTGACTATGGACTGGTATATTGGATGTCACTGAATCAAGATTACATTTTATTGTTTATGTTGAAGAGCTGTCCTATTCTCAGAAAACACATGCAACATACTTCTAAATGGTCATGAAATTTTTGAAAAAAATTATATGTATAATTATATATATACATGTGCACTTTTCTTTCTCTCCCCATATATATGTAATTATATACATTTATATATAATTATATCTATTGTATATTATATTATATATTATAATATATTATATATTTATATATAATTATATATATATATGGGGAGAGAGAAAGAAGAGTGCACATGTTGCAAAATGTTAACAATTGGTGACTCTAGGTAAAGGGCATATGAGTATGCATTTTTCTGTTTTCTCAACTTTTTTTGTAGGGTTAAACTAATCTCTTATCCCTAGAGACAGCATGTCAATATTTGAAAACAGCTATTGCCTCTGTCAAAGTTCTGTATTCTAAACCTGCATTCTACACCTGGGTGCCTATAAGGACTCTCTGAATGACTTTCTCAAAATCCATATCCCTCAGTCCTGCCCTGCCACTCATACCGCAGATTTTGTTTCAGAAGGTAAGGTGTGGGACCCAGGTCTGTGAATTTTGGAAACCTCCCCAGGCACGTTCTGTGCTGTACTTAAGCTTAGGAATTATGGGCTTGAATTACTCTCAGATCCTGGGTGGTGAGGAACAAACTGTGTGGCTCTGGGAAGAACAGCCGGACACACTTAGCCTTGGGTACCCCTATAAAATGGGAGCAATAATATTAAGTATCTTACAGGACCGCAGTGAGGATCAAATGAGAATATTTATTTCCTCTCTTCCATCATCCTCTCATAGACCCCCATCGTCCCCAAAGTGGTTTTTACAAAATGTGATTTCTTCCATTTGCAATTTACATGGTAAATGGAAGACATCCACCTACGCTCAGATCTTTTTAGAGTTCCCACATCACTCAATGTGGGGCAGAGGCTGGAGAATCTAGACTATTAACTGGCTTACAGCAGGGTTGAAAGAGAAGAACAGAAGCCAGCTCTCTTGCATCTGAACCCCAAGGGAGCCCTACATGTTGCCAGTCTAGGGGTTCTCCTTCGGATAGGGATTAACCCTGAAATCTTATTAGCTCGGGCTTCTTTATAAACTCTGCATGAGGACTCAAGTGGTCTTGCCTAAACCCACTTGGAGCGTGGGCTGGGGCAGGGAACTGGCCACAGCTCGGGAGGCAATGGCTTCCAGCCTGGATGTGTGACTTATCAGCTGTGGGACTCTGGAGACGTTGCCTCTCTGAGCCTTCATTTCCTAAGCACTGGGAATGGAAACCACAAGGCATGACTCACCTGCCTCAACTGGTGTATGTGAAACATAGTTTTGAAAATGTTGTGTCACTCAATTAGTGTGGCATATTTTTCTCCTTAAGGGCATAGCCATCCTCCTCCTCCTCCTTCTTTTTTACTGCTGTTATTTTTAACCTGCCTCTATGTATGTCCACAAACACTGAGGATGACTTGCTCTCATTTCCCTCCGATTTGGGATAGATTCTTAAATACTCCTTTTCACCTTTGGACGCGCTGCCCAAAGTCTTCGGCAAAGAGAACCTGCATCCCGGATCATCTCAGGGAAGCATCCAGAACTCAGGCCCTGCAGTATCTGACCATTGTGAGGGGTGCACAGAAGAAGTGCTTGGGTCAAGCTGGACCACATATGTCCCCTTCCCCTTCGTTGACTCAACTTACTGAATCCGTTAACGTCCTGAGAACTAGAAGAGAAGCCTTCGTCGTTGCGGCTGGCGCTGAGCTTGGTGGTGGGTTTGTCTGTCGAGGCCACTGGCCCCATCTCCCTCTGGGCTCCACTCTGTGTCTCCTTTTGCTTCTTGGCCAGCTTCCTTTGGGACATGTGCAAGGGGAAAAACCACAGTCAGATGATGACAGTTGCATTAAAGTATTGGGAAGATGGGTTTCTCTCCTTCCCCACCCCTCACCCTCCACCCATAAACCTGGCTCATTCTCCAGAAACAGAGTCAAGCCAGGCCCTCCAGGGTCAAGGTGGAATACACTTACGTCCTCCTGAACCCATTCATGGGTTCCATGTACTCAGAAATATGAGCCTTATGCTGCCCCTTCCCCAACCACGGGCGTGTTCTATATTTGAGCTTAAAATGGGAACTCAGTGAGACTTGTGCAATGCTTCCGCCGCCCTCCTTGCAGAAGGAGGAAGAGACTACACTGGTCTTTCTGTGACTCTGAATGAGATTAAAAATGGAGGGGATGGGTATATACAAACATAATCAGCGAGATGTGCAACGTTTGGGGGATCGTCACGCTTGAAGCTCTGACTCGGGGGGTGGGGCATGAGCAATATACGTAACCTTAACATTTGTACCCCCATAATATGCTGAAATAAAAAAATAAATAAATAAATAAATAAATAAATAAATAAAATGGAGACGGGCTTTCTCAGGGACTGAGCTTATAAGAATCCCACCAAATAATGGTAGATTAACCACTTCGGGACCAGCGTCGGCTACAGTCGATAGCCACAGATGAACGTGCACAGCGACTGTAGCCGACAGCCATGATATGAAGGCGCACAGCCCAGCGTTGACTTTAGCCGACAGCTGTGATATGACTTTTCTGATTTTTCATTTATCAAAATAAAACTGTGAACATTTAAAAATAACGTAATGAAAACATATATGCATATGTTACCTATTCTGATTTACATTACAAGTAAAGCTGCCTGTAAAGTAAAACAAGCTTTCAGTGCTTTAAAGCTTTCCTCGTCACACAAGAGCAAAACGGACTCGTCGTCAATGCACAGCACAGACTACCGTGCGGACTGTGAGTGCCGGCTGTGGGCGAGGTTTCATGGCCGGTGAGAGCCGTGCTGAAGTGGTTAAAATAGGAGCTGGTGGTTGGCTGTGGGTGAGGGTGGAGGTTAGTCTCATAGCTCGAAAGGAGGAAAGTTAAAGCCGAACTTGATGTACAGTTACTCCCATGGGAATAACAGACCCTCAGAACCAGATGGACATTTATAATAATAATGCTAGTGTAGAACAGTGGTTCTCAAACTTTGGTATGAATTTGAACCACCCGAAGGGCTGAAAAAGCACACAGAGGCCCAGGCTCATGGAAGTAGGATTGGGCCTAGACCTTTGCATGGTTTTAACCCACTGGAGGTTAAAATCATCAACTTTGCATCAGGCAGACCTGGGTTCGTAGCCCACCTCTGCTGCCTGCCAGCTAGCTGCATGACCTGGGCAAGTTCCTTAATCTCTTAAAGTCCTGCAACTCTTCTTCTGAATACTGTGGCAAACAATAGGGCCAGCCTTATAGAGTCGTGAGGATTAGATGAGATAATGCATAAAATACACAGAGCACAGTGCCTGGCACAGAGTGAACATCCAACACACGGCAGTTGCTATTCTTGTTTTTATATTCTTGCCGACTGATCAAACTATATTCCAATGTCAGAGCCCCCTCTCCAACAGCCCCACTGTGAAATCACATCTCTCCCTGAATTCTCTCAAGTGCTGGAGACTTTAATACCTCATCAGGGATATGAAAGGTTAAAAAGTTCCTCTTTGAAGGATTTGAAATCTACTTCTCCTAAATTTTAACTGATAGGTCTTAGATATATTATTAGAGATATAAAACTATGACTAAACCCTCTTACATATAACAGTTGTTCAAATATTTCTAAAAAGCCAACATAGTTTCTCTGAGTTTTCCCAGTATATATACATCTAAATATAGTTATTATGTTCCTATCACATGAAAGGCGGTGGGCTAAACATTAAATATCCAGAGAGTAAATTTCTCCAGGTCTCTTGCTCCATCCTTCACAAAATTTGGCTTCAGATTAAATCTTGGTCATTCCTATCTCAACACAGAAAGAACAGATGTCCCAGAGAGGTCAAATTCAGTGCAATATAGGGAATAACTTTCCAAAGTTGAGCCCACCTGATCGTGAAATAGGCAGTTTCAAGTTTTCATTATCTCCCTGCCAGAGGGATTATTCAAGGAAAGAATAAACCCAGATTTGGAAGTGTAGAGGAGTTCATCTAGCACTAATAACAGTTTGATAGTATCTTCCTTGAAACATGGGTCTCATGAAATAGGCATAGCTGGCACAGAAGAAGGACAGATGCACACACTCAAATGAGGATAAATTGAGGAAAGTTTATTTATAAAAGGACTATTGACAAAGGTGAGAAGGGTGCAGGGGACCCAAGATATAATACAGAAATAGGAGAGCTGCAGACCACCAGGGGGGTCTAGAGGGGACAGACAGAAGAAACAGTAACCAGAATGCAAAAGGAGAGAGTTGTGAAGATGAGGAAACCTAAATTTACAGAAGCAGTGGCTTTCTCTGGAGGGGCCCAACCAGTCCTGTGCAACCTCACAGGGAAAGAACCATAAGAGCCTCTGCCCTGACTCCTCCTCCTCCCTTCCTCTGACCTCCTGTAGTGGCTCTCATTAGCTAAACCCCAGGAAAAGCCACAGGTGGCCGACAGTCCTTTGATAGAGGCAGTAGAGAGCACACTCTGGAAGCCCAGGGCACAGGGAGAAAGGTGGAGAGTGAATCTGGCTCCAGGAATCCAGACCAAGAAGAAAACGATTTTTATATCCCTTATTTTGGCCATCCCTGGAAGACACATGGAGCCTAAAATGAAATTCTTCATTTATTTATTTATTTATTTTAGATTGGCCTGGGGAAAGAAGGGCACTCAGCAGCAGGAATGCATCTTTCAGTTGTACTGCCGTGGCCACGGGCAGGCTGCTCTACTCTTGGAACTATTCCAGGCAGACAGAAAAGCAACAAGAAATGAAGCATTGGCTCAGCCGGGCCCTTTCTCAGCACCAACAGGCAATTAGACGGGGAAAGCGGGAACGCCAACGAGAGAAAAATGAGTAATTCTGTGGCTGATGACATTTCAAAATTTTATTCTTCATTTATTATCAAAAAGGAGTGTGTTTAAAAATGTATATGTGACCTTCTTAATCATAAATTTGAAAAGATATATGGCAGATCCTTTGCCTCTGTCTGAGCTCGGCTCACACTGCCCCAGCAGGAAATAAAAAGAAATCCGATAACAGAGTTAACTTTAAAACTATAAATGAGTATGTATCGGAGGCTTTGATATTTCCTTGGGGGCAGAACTCCCAGCCAATCTCCTTCCATTCAGGGTAAAATAATATGGAGAGGGTTGTCTTAGGCACAAATCACTGGTTTCCAAAGGACTAATAATAATAAAAAAGGCCTTGCTGCTTTTATGAAAAATGGCATTTTATAGGCATGTTTGGGTAGTTCTGAACACCTGTATTAAAAAAATTGAAAAACTGAGTCTCTCCAAAAAATACAGATATTTAAAAGCTGGAAAGCTAACTTAGTTGTAAGAAGTCAGATATATGGCACTCTTAGTGCCTAGCTCATGGCTGACACTTAGTACCTGTTCACGGCGAGAACGATGCCATACGATAATTTGAAAATGTATAGACGGATGTTCTGACAATAGGCAAACACAGCTGCAAGAAGGAAATGAGTGGGGTGTATGTAAAAGGAAACAGAGCACAAAACCACATTCTGGGGACCTATCTCTCTATTCTTTCAAAATTCAAGATTTAAGTTCTAAAAAACTCTCCCAGCAACACAGGAAAATTGATATTCATTCCCATAACCAAAGAGTTTCATTTATCATTCTTTTATAAAATTTTTCTCAAGAGAGGGGAAAATCCAAACCTGTGAATAGGGCACACTAGATCCTCAAACTATGGTCCAGGCTTCAGCTCAGCTGTATCCTCTACACACACCTGCTTTTAGAAAACATCCACTACCCGCCCCCCATCATTCCTCAGTACTCTATATTCCTTAATGTGTCCCCATCCTTTTCCACTGGTCACCCCCTTTTTATCCCCCAAGGCTCAATTGTCATTCAAATGTCACGTCTCCTTAGAGGTTTCTCCCTGTTTCCCCAGATAGATTTACAGTTTTCCCCTCTTGGTTGTCTCATCCAGTGAACAAATATTTATTGATAGAGTACATGCATCAGTCTCTGCTAGGTGTAAGAAGACCATATCTTCTCGACCTTGACCCTCATGGAATGCAGAGAATAATGGCAAACACAGGCATTAAACAGAGAAATACAGAAATAAGGATAAAATCACAAAGATGATGAATGCCAAGAAGAAACACCAGTGCTATGAGAGAGCTAATACCTGCTCTGAACCCTGGCAGGAGATCAGGGGAGGTTTTGGTGCTATGTCAGCTAAGTACTTGTCTAGTCAAATTGCAGTCATTCAACTCTCTCTCACCCACTAGGACAAGAACCTCTTGGGAGAAGGGCTTTTGACTTCCTGCACCTACTCCAATTTCTTGCTGAGTGTCTGGCGCATAGCCACTGCTCAACAAATTTGTTGCACAAATTTGTATTTAAAAGTCTATGATTTGAAGTATAGAAAAGATGGTCATCCTACTCTGAACACATATTATAACCACTTTAAAAGGAGATACGTGCATAGAAAGAGAAGAGAAAATCTGTATGAAATTAGTTTGTGATCTGGAATGTTTGTACCTAGGAATATCTTTGTTTTAATAACTTAGCATTTCCTTCTTGGAATGTTTGCAGAATTAATGGAGTGTTCACAGAAGTCAGATATTTTTTTATTCTCCCAGAACCCTCAGAATGTCCACAGCTGTAGAATATTTTTTTTAAACTTATAAAATAGTCACATGACTCATGGGATGGTCATATAAATTCATGGAATCCTCAGAGCCTTCAAGACTCAAGAACTTACGACTTTCCGAACTTGGGATTTTTTTTTTTCTCTAGTTGTTCTAAGATCCTTGCCAATTGGGTCACACAGTTTCACCAGCAGGGGGTACCAAAAGCTG